GATATGAGACCCCAGGCATGTAGACATCTTCAAAGCAGCCTGGGAGATGAGAGTCCTGCAGGCCTGTGCTGCTCACTCAAGATCCACTGGTCCCTGTGAAAAATAGTCACAGACTTCGGGAAGCAAGCGCCGCTTATTAAAACCACTAGTCTTTATTAGTTTCTCCTGTTAAGATTCTGGTCACACACTCAGACAACAGGGAACTGCACACAACTTCGTCAGCAGCGTTTGAAAGGCTGACATGGAATAGAAACGCTGCTTGGGTAAAATAGTGATCCGCTATCAACACAGATTGCGGACTTGGTAACACTCTCCAAACATATCAAGAAACAAATGAATGTCACATAGCACAGATGGATTTGAGATATTTTAATTTAGAACAACTGGACAAAATACACAGATTCCGGACTATGTAACTACAGCATTATTGGCAGTGCTGTGTGAACATTTTCACGAGTCTCTTTGCTACACAGAATTGACCTGCTTAAAATTCTCTCCTGTCCCTTAAAGCATCTTCAGACTGGTCACATGGGAGGTGCGGATGAGGGCCCTATAACTTGGCTGTTTTAGATGGACCACTGGCAGGGTCTGGTGGGATGTAAGCAGAGCAGACTGCTTTCCCAGGACTGAGACGCAGACTTGGAGATGGGTTTTGGCTTGGCAGCATAGCCCTTTGACTTTGGAATATCGAATCCGAGTTGTCAGCTCAGGGAATAATGGAGAATGGATGTTTCTCCAAGATAAGCTGGTACCTCCATAACAAAGGAAATGGCTAAGTTTTAAATCCCACTGCTAAGGCCAATTTTAAGGGCAAAACATTTAAGGCAATTGCTTCCCTTTCACAGGAATATGTTCCGTATATCCTGCCTCTGAAAAGGTAATGGCCAACCGAGGGTCCTGCTGGTACGGCTCCCCCCCAGGAGAATGTGATGATACCTTGAATGCCCCACACCCCAGCCAATGTCTGAAATCCACATGGGGTGACATCTTGGGCTTTCGAGGAAAGAAAGCAGTATTTATTTGAACTTAAATCAGACGAAGTCTCTCAGAAGTTCTGGCCACTGTTCTCACGGGGGAGAGAATGGAGGATTTCTAGGAAGTGTAAAAGGAGGCTTTTTTGAGCATTTTGTGCTTACTTTGGTTAAGCTCAAAGCAGTGGTTTAGCGATGCATGGGAGACACACTGACCCTGAGCCTATTTAATATTTGACAAGAACTAAATATCCTTATGTGAAGGGCTTTGACCCTAGTGGTGTGAAGCATCAGTTGGATCCACATGGTTTGTCCAGATGCTGGGGTCAGAATGCTTGGTGTCTAGTTGGGTGCCACAGAAAGCGGTGAGCTCCGGGCAAGGTGACATTCCTCTCTTTCCTGGCTCTAAGAGTTCACCTGCAATTAAGTGATTATGTTGAGCAGCTACTAGCCCACTAGAGAAAACCACCCCCTCTCCCATGAGAGGTTTCATCTTCCCAGGTCCCCCATGGCAGATCTTCTTTCTGGGGAGGACAAGCCTCCCAGAGCAGCTGCCACCCCCATGACAGACACTAGAGGTGTAAGATACACATAAAGAGAAGTCAGTCTCCCCATCTCAAGGGGAAAAGCCCGAGAGCACAGGGAAGAAGACAGGGCTGTGAATGTTGGGCTCCATCACGGTACCTGACCTGCAGTGTTTAGCAGTTGTGGTAATTTTCATGGGAGATATCAGATCACGGGCCCCAAGTTGTTCTCCCTTTCCATCTGGATCCCACTGATTTCTAAAGCCAGAGCTGAGCGGTAAAGAGGGTGAGAACTCAGTTGAAGTGCCCTGTATGGTTCTGATAGAGCACTGTCTACAACCAAGAAGGACCCCTAATCCTGATAACACACACAGGGACTTCCCAAGCAACCACCATCCCCAGATGTACTCGCTATTCTCTCAAGGGCTCGATGGTGGGGCTGTGGTTACCCTATTAGCTCTAGATCCCACAAGAAAGACCCACCTTCCACACCACACACCTGAGGCCTGCACAATGGATTTCCTTGGCCTCTTCTTACAATAATGCTTTTGCTATGCATCCAAAGTGACACTGAACTCACTATGGAGCCCAAGCTGGTCTTGAACTCACCACCCTCTCATTTCAGTTCTGGTTAGAGAGATGTACCACCATTTCTGGTATATGGTGATGCTTGAACCCTGCTGAGTGACAGCAGTGAGCCTGTACACCCAATCTATTGATCCTTATGCTCATGAAGTGGGGTGGCTGATGTGTTGAGCCACAGTCAACAGAGGCCAGTGAGGCGAGAAGGGCAGCTTTCTCCAAGGACTAGATGTCGTTGGAGGAAAGTGCTCAGGCAGCCAGTAACTGCTCTTCCGTGGTCTCCAGCAGCAGTGACTTCCTGTTTTGCAGTCTGTTTCTTTAAATCTCACTGTCTTCTGGAACTGTTCTACTAAATTGACAAGATACTAAATTTGACTTTCAGAAATTACACCCCAAGAGTAATAACAACATCAATCCAGTTATCAAAAGGGGGCATTCTGGAATTGAACTGGAAGCCTTGGAACTCCAAGGGATGAATAACCAGTGTCGAGATTCCTAGCACTACTGGAAAGGAACTCAGTTATGGCTGGTGGGGGATGTACTGAAAAAAAAAAAACCACCAGGTTCTACATTTCCAGTCATTGACTTCTCAGTGACATGGACATGTCTGTGGTCCTCATGCTGTCAGGGAAAGGTAACAAAGGAGGCCCACAGACTGTTGTTTCAGACAGTGAGTACCTTTGGCTACTGTGGTTGGAACACAAACATTCCGGGGTTGAGGATTTTTCTCTGTGTTCGTTTGGTCGTCTTGAAATAGAATTCACAAATATCAGCTGAATGTCACAGTGATTTGTTTGTTTTGTTTTTTTGAGACAGGGTTTCTTTGTGTAGCCCTGGCTGTCCTGGAACTCACTCTGTAGACCAGGCTGGCCTCGAACTTAGATATCCACCTGCCTCTGCCTCCCAAGTGCTGGGATTAAAGGCATGTACCACCACTGCCCTGCCACAGTGATTTTCATTAGCACGGGTAACGTTTGAAAATCCCAAACATGAGTGGTACTTTACAGCTTGTCTGGGTATATGAATCACGTCTCTATAAGCTTTCCCTACTTTGAAAGTAACTAGGAAGCAAGAGCTTGAGTTGGCTCTTCAGGCCTCATCAGTGCTTCTGACACTCTGTGGGTCCCATCTACGTCTTGGATGCTTAGTTCTCTGTTTTGATTTGGGATTAATGCCTTAAGTTCATCCTTCGGATCGCTGTCTTTAAAATTGGCCCTAAGAGGTGAGCTTTCCAAATAACACAGGGAAGTTTAATCCCTCGATTCCCATTACTGCCAAGAGCTGTGACTGTAGGTCCCTCTGCAGCTGACCCCAAATTTACCCCTTGGTGTTGAAAGTGCCAATTAAATAATAAAAACCAAAGCCGTGGTCAGATGTAATTAGTTTGAGAATAGAGTTTTATAACACGCCTCGTGCCTAGCAAACAAGTTAACCCTTCTGATGGCACACACAATGATGTGGACCAGGAGGACAGCGTTCCTTCTGGGAACAGGAAACAGGAAACAAAATTCTGGCCCCAAACATTTGAAAATGCAGTTTATATGGTCAGCCCCTCCTTGCAGTTGAACTTGTCTAGGCTTGATTGAAAATGGGATACATTTTAAAACAGGATTCTGATAAGAAGAGACTACAACGGTGTCACCTGCAAGCTATCCAACAGAAAGTCATTTCTTTTCTTTTTTGTTTGTTTGTTTTTTGAGACAGGATTTCTCTGTGTAGCCCTGGCTGTCGTGGAATTCATTCTGTAGACCAGGCTGGCCTCGAACTCAGAAATCCGCCTGCTTCTGCCTCCCAAGTGCTGGGATTAAAGGCGTGTGCCACCACCGCCAGGCTCAGAAAGCCATTTCTTAGTCTACCTCTCAAAGACTATCACTCTCAGTGGTCCCTTATCCTAGCCACCTCTGGGGACCAAATGGGCTCCTTTGCTGTTGCTCAGCTGATGAGGACTGAACTGAACTATCCAACCTTGCTTGTGTTTTTTCTCTTGTCTGTGTGGATGGTGTGGTGGGGAAAAGATATGGACTGCATCAGGCCAAGAGGTCACATTATTTCTGTTGTTTCTGCTTCTTCAGCTTGGGGAGGAGGAGTAGGAAGAGGGAGGGAGATAAGGTCACAGTAAGATTGGCAGTCTGCACCGGCACTAGGGAAGGTTCTAGGCACTGCTTTAACACTTCAGCTCTTCCATTCGGAATCCTCTTATTTTCTTGAGTAAGGATTGAAAACATGACTCCGCTAGGTTGTTTTAAGTTGGAAAAGCCTGGCACAAGTAGTCATGGAATTGATGTGTGCCACTGAAGATGTGTGCCATGTATCAATCAGAACAGTGTGTTGAGGCTACTACCTGAGCAGGCACCCCCATCCACGTCGTCATTGACGTGGGCCTCTCTGCTTTCCTCATCAGCAGTCTTTGGGATATGGAGGAAAGAGGGGGAGAGGAGAACGTGTGTGCATGTGTGTGGGGGGGAAGAAAGGAGGGGGAGAGAGAGGTACAGGACAGAGAGAGAAGAGGAATATGGTCATATTTGGTTATGGAAAACAGAAGTAGAAAACTACAGTTCTATTGAAAAATATCAGCTTTCACAACGCTAACCATGGGAGCTACGCTGGAGCATCAGTGAAGGGGTGAGGAGGGCGTCAGTGCTGCGGATGCAGCCCAGCGGTGGAAAGCTTGCATAGCATGTGCCAGGTCCTGAGCTCAATAGCTAAGATTTAAAATAAAAATAGAAAGGAAGAAAGAAGAAGAAAAAGAAGGAAGGAAGGAAGGAAGGAAGGAAGGAAGGAAGGGAGGACATTCATGAAACAAGGTTGCTTCTAAGGAGATTGCAAGCTGGGAACCAAAATACTGCTTTGAAAATATTTCAGTTCTAAGCTTTCCTTATCAATAGGAACTGGTGAATTTTTTTCTTTTAAATGTACAACTCGGTTTCTCCCACATACAACATAAATCATTTAATGTATCGTTTGCAGCCTTAGAGAGGCAGACATATTTAATTCAAGTCCGTTTATAAATTCCAATTTTATATGGATTAAAAACTGCAGATAAATTAAGTCACAATAATATCCTGTACATGCATTAAGGCTGGTGACTGCTAAAGTCTCTTGAATATCTATAAACAGGAGATCACACGCCGATGACAGGGTCTGAAGAGTGTCTACATCATTAAAAAAAAAATCTTGCATTTTTCTCTTTCTTTTTTTTTTTGGCGATACAGATCTCAACAGTAACGCTGGAAAACTGTGAAAAAATGTTATTTAAAAATATATATGCATATGTTACTGGTACTGCACAGTTTCAAAGATGTGATTCATAAATAATCCCACTGTGTTGATTGTGTATCAATGACTGCACGTCCAAGGTGATCTGGGCACACAGTGACTTAGACTCAATATTAGGCACTAATAATATCTGTCAGGTGGACTACAGTTCTGTGTTAGCTGTATTGGTACATATATATTTTTAAATGTATGCATTTATATGAACTGTGTCTATTCTGTATGGGTGTCAGAGATGCACACGTCACTGTTACACAGCACAGCACACACACACCATTGTTGTATATACTGGGATACATTTTAGTGCAGAAAGTCTCATTGCATTGCATTCCAAGTGTTCAATCTAGCACACAAACTGTCAACTGTATAGTGTATTTTCCAGTGCATCCTCGCAGAGAGTGGGACCTAGTTTCCACTTGAATGTCTCCAAAAGCCTGTTTTAACTGATCTTCTCTCTCTGGGCATATCTGCACCAGAGACTGATGCCCACAGAGTAACAACTAATGCCACAGTCTGTTCAGGAATATCTAAGCTGCTCCCTTTCAAAGGTAATTCTAACATTGTGACAGAGGGTGGCACCTACTCAGGTCATGAGAGGGAAGACCAGCTGGACTTGGTAGGACATCTGAGGTCAGAATATGTCTTCCAATAGAAACAAGTGGTGATAGATGTTATGCTTACATGTAAAACTCTCTGGAAAGACACGGGATCAATGAGCTGTGGTCATCCTGGGGGGTGAGGCAACCACAGGCTTGCATCGTCTACATTTCAGCATTATTTGAATTCCTATAATGAACATGTAGGATTTTTATAGTCATAAACTGTAAGAAAGATGTTTCCACTTGCGAGCCAACTTAAGAAAAGGAACCTGTTGTGGATGAGCTTTCATGGCATCAAGTGGAAGACAGTCCCTTACCAGAATTATCAACATTGAGCCCCATCAGATGCAAGACAGTTTCTTAATAAAATTACCTATACTGGGCCTGTCACTGCTCCATGGATGAGGCAAGAGACTTGACTAGGACCTGCACACTCTGACTATGCGCCACTCCAAGCCCCTGGCCCAGACCAGTTTCTAGCAGTTTTGTTTGGAAGCAGGTCATCAGTGTGTTGTCAAACCTGTGCTGGTACAATCAGCCAGAGGCCACTTTGCAATTTGATGGGCTTCCCAGGAATGTGGATTGTGTGAGTGTCACAACTAAGCCTGTAACTTTAAAGAAAGGCAGGAGCAGAGAAACTTCCCAAGGGTGCACAGAGGCCCTTGAGGGTATGGCTCTATATGAGAGTTTGAACTTTTTGCCAGAATTCACCAAGAGTAACTAGAACAAAGTCTCAATGCTGCACACAAGGTAATTCAATTTCATATATTCAGACTTTAAACACAGGATGGGATCACAGACCTGTCAACAATTAAGAGAAAGGGATTGCAAAGAGCGTGTTGTATAGATAAATACAAAGATGAAAACGGAGGTGAAACCTTGTTTCAAGAATCTCAACCCTGAACTGCTCCAAAATCTAAAACCTCTTGTACAGTGCTATGATGCCAGTGGTAAATCCCACGGCTGACCTCTTGGGATGGTTTACAATCAATATTGCAGACATTACCTTCCTGTGTACAGGGTATATATAAAACATAAATGAGATTTATGTTTAGACTTGAATCCTCTCCTCCAAGATACCTCCTTATGTATTCACAAATATCCTAACGTCTTAGAAAAACAGTTCTGGTCCCAAACATCTGAAGTCAATGTACTGCTAAAAATTTCAAGTGTTTGAGGGCGAAAGCCAGATGCAAATTCCACAATCCACTTTGGTGAAAATCACCAAACCTGTTCAACTGTTTGTATAGCTTTGAATCCACCCTTGGAACTGGGGAACAAGAGTAATCTTATTTCTCACCTACTGACAAAGCTGACAGATGGTGATGTGTACATAGCCAAGCTCACAGAGAGACAGAGAAAACATAGGACATACACTTTGTGACACCTTGGCCACCTTGAATAATGCAGGGCTCTGCAGGTGGTCTTACCTATCTCCTTCTGGCTGACCTGGTATAGTTTTGTCAAGTAACTCAAGGACAATGGTTTGTTCTTAAGCATTGTAAGATATACCTTGCTTACTGGACTTGTTTCTTTATACTAATATTTCAGATCTACATATATTTAACAAGAAGACTAAATCTAGGGGATAAAAAAACATGAGAAAACAAACTTTAGACAAAAACTGTAAAGGAGGTGCTGAAAAACTAAAACAAACTCAATAAAAAAAAAAAAAAAGAAGACAAGACGCATGGCTGATACATAAACACACCAGATGCAAAGATTATAAGCAAGACATTCTGGTTGTTGCTACTCCAAACCGAGTTTTGATCACCACAGGGATAACCTTCCCTGCATCATAAGCAGCTTGTCAATGAAAGCTTGAAAAACATCCCCCAAGTCAAAATGTCTGTCACTCAAGGCCTGGAGTTGCACATGGTATGTGAAGAGCAAGAATCGGGTGGGTGACAACAGTGAGTGTGTCTGAGTCTGCGAAGCAACAGCCAAATCTAGGGATGGCATACTCTAGACAACGTCTTCATTTGGCCTAGAAAGGTTGCAAGAAAGCTACTGTGGAAAGAAGAGACTTGAAATGGATTGGCTGACCACAGCCACAGAGTCACAGTGGCAGAGAGAGGAAATGCACATGCCTGGAGGGCTCACTGCCACAGGTGAAGACTTTCATTCTGAACCAGAACAGTCACTGCTGCTACTGTGGTTGCTGAGCTTTTACTGAATCCTGGTGCCATATGTGGGGACAAGACAAGGGACTCTTGGGGGACTCCATTGGTTTATATTATGTTTGGTAGATAATGGGGGCGGGGGAGGGTACTAGAGGAGGGGCAAGGCGCTTGGTAACATGCATTCTAGTGAATTTCTGGCACAAAAATAACTGACTTATTTCATCAATTGCTCATTAATAATATACAACAACCAAAATTAAATGGGGAATTGTATATAATACTGAAAGGAACCAGTAATAAGAGACAGGTTCAACTTGTCCGGCAGTTATGCTCTCTGTGTGCTGGAGCTCACCAGGTTCAGCAACGCATGAGATTTCGGTGGAACTTTCTAAGAGAAGGCAATGGCTTAGCACTGGGGGGAGGATGTGTCTGAGTGTGCGAGCACATGTGTACTGCATGGATTTCCTCCAATGAGGAGCCTCTAATCACTGTCTAGCCTGGGGTTATAGAAACTAGACAAAGGGAATACGCATGAAGAGCTGTTGATCTTACACACATACACAGGCAGCTTTGTATGAACCCACATCTAAACACCCCCCAGCCCCCCAGAGAAACATTGCTGTTAGACTCTGAGGAGATGTTCACTGTGGTTTGGGGAATGTCAGTAGCACAGTGTCCGGAAACATTGAGCCACTGAGGAGAAGAAAACACAGTCTGGCTCAAAGGTGTGGTCCCTAGGCCAGGTGTGCGCTGCTCCGCAACCAGTGCAGGCCTTGCTGGGAGTACTGGACCAGGTGCTCCATGCTGCTGTGCAGGGTGACAGGTCCCATGAGTAAATCCAGGTCATTGAAGAATTCTAGGAGACAGAGAGATGTGTGAGGAGCACCACCCGGAAGTCAGGGCCTTCGTGATTTCAGAGACAATCTATTCACCACTTCAAGCATTCTCCATTGTATATGTGGCTTAGCATTTCCCTAGAATGAAATAAAAACCTACACCCTAATAAGTGACCATTATTTGTCATACTTATATTCCCAAATAACCAAGGTTCTGTATGGTCCAGTTATATTCTCCTGGTAGGAAAAATGTTTTTCACCCAAAGTCAGTATGATTGTCTCTCCATCATTTCCCTGTCAACTGTTATGGGCTAAGTCTCTGAAGGGGCATCCAAGGAGTGGGGCTCCAGGACAGTGGGTCAGTCAGTGGTCTGTACCAAGCAGTTACCCCTGCTGAAGTTACCTCCTGGATTGGGGAGCTCTCTGTGTCTGTTCTCTCCTTTATTTTGGAGCTAGGTACTTTCTGGGAGCAGTGAGTAGAAGGAGGTGGGGGGGGGAACGAGCCAGATGAACCATGGGTGTGGTGAACAGAGACACATTCTCAGGGCAGCTCTGCCCTCATAGGTGTCACCAAATAATGTTCATTGGAAGGAAGCATCTGAGACAGCGTCAAAGTGGCATCCTTCTAAGGAGGGAACAGAGGTTCAGGGAAGACTGCACACTCAAGGAGGTGAGAGGAGGAATCCAGGTACACGACAGAGGAGGAACAGGTTAACGTGGGTGGACAGAACCAAGTTGGTACCCTACCTATCACTGTTGACAATAGTTAAGTTCCCAGTGGTAAGATCACTGACCACCTACTAACGACCAAAAAACCTTTCCCTTTCTATCTTCTTGTGTTCCACAAATTTAGCCTCAGAAAGCACCCACTGCTATGTTAAAATCTTATTAATATTTGAGAGACAGAAAACGTCTGAGAGAGGGAAGGGGAGAGGCAAGAGGTACTTATGTATAGATGTGGCAGTCACAGGGCGACTTTTGGGATTTGATTTTCTCTTTCTACTGCAGGCTCTGGGAGTGAACTCAGGCCATCAGGCTTATACCCACTGAGCCTTCTCGTGATCCCCGTTACTTCTGTTATCAGCAAAAACTATTTAAAGGTAATTAATTCACAACTGAGTATAAGGCATTCTCTTGAGAGATACAACTTTTCTTTTCTTTTTTTCTGAGACAGGTCTTATTTATGTAGCCTAAGCTAGCTCGGAACTCCCTTTGTAGCTTAAGCCAGACTCAGATTTGGAAATCATCCTGCTTTAACTTCTTGAGTACCATAGCTCTAGGCTTGCACCACCAAGCCTGGCTAGCAGCTTAGACCATAAAGAGTTGCTAACATTCATTCATATAGTTGATATTTTTGGAGCCCCATCTGTGTTCTAGGAATTAGGTTAGGTCTGGGGGGGGGGCACAAATTAAGAGGAAATATAGTCTATGTGGAAGAAGCTCACTGGGAAATCCCAGGATTGCGCATGTACATCTGCGCCTGAATTTGTACCTGCATCTGTGGGTATCTGCATCTAATTGACTCCACCTGCTCTTCCACAGCAAGAGTAAAAGCAGGCCCAGGCGCAGGTGCCAGCCTTTTCTTTCTCCTTGGTAAATCATGAAATTTGATCGCAGATGCCCCTTGGGCAGATTTCCCTGTGCCTAGGTGGGTCCCCATTCTCCAGGGCTGTGCACACACCTCTGTTTTCCTTGGCCAGATTATCAGCCATCTCCCAGTAGTCATAGCTGTGGAGGATGCTGTTGGTGATGCTGACATGATTGGCTGCCATCTGGTGAATGCGCTGAGGGATGCTGACGATGGTCGATGGGGACAGGCCGCTGGAACTGGAGAGGCTGCCCTGAGACCCCACGGAGCTGGCGGGAGAAGGGTTGGGAGACATGGGGGATGGGCTTCCAGTGCTCCTGGAAGAAGAGAGGTAGAAAAGCCAGAGTGGAGAGGTTGGGAACAGGCCAGGCAGGGCAGGGCAGCCCCTTGGGGTATCATGTCATGCAGTGCGTAATTTATTTGCATTTGGGGAAAGTGAACTTACTTGCCACTGGACCCCCATGGGGATGGGGCTTGGGCAGCTTTCGATGAATTCTGCAGGGAAATAAGAATTTGGACAGTGAGTAGCACTGGCTAAGACTAAGCAGCGGGCAGCAGCATATTTTCAGGCAACTGTGACAATAACCACTAAGATTCTGTAGGTCAGGGCAGACTCACGGAAATCAGATCTGGGGATTCACAATCACAGGGCTCTTCTTCCATGGAAGCTAGTGTGTATGAATGTGTGTGAGCACAAGTGTGTACATGTGCCTTCCCCAGAGGAGGCCTTTGCACACAGATTAGGCACTGAATTATCCATAATTGCAAGGGTTTGGTGTATGCTAAGCCAATCCAGAGTGTTTCATTGGAAATTGGTCTAAATCTTCTCAACAGAGTAGGAACTGTCTCTCTCTCCACAATGAGAACACCTTTTATCTAAATTTAGGGATTATTTACAGAGGCTTTTGAAGGAACTGTGTCATCAAATTCTACTGTTTTAAATTACAAAGTCTAAAATTATTTCTCTTCATGCTGGGTGTAGTGGTGCATGCCTTTAATTCTTTAATTCAGGAGACAGAAGCAGGCAGATCTTGGAGTTCCAGGCCAGCCTGGGCTACACAGAGAAACCCTGTCTTGAAAAACACCAGCACCAGT